TCCATCCATCCATCCATCCATCCATCCATCCATCCATCCATCCATCCATCCATCCATCCATCCATCCATCCATCACGCTTATCCCAAGCGGGTCACAAGGGGTGCTGGTGCCTATCTCCAGCTGTGTATGGATGAGAGGCGGGGTACACCCTGGACAGGTGGCCAGTCCATCGCAGGGCAACACAGAGAGCTAGTTGGTGCGATTCACCAACTAGCTGGCTGCTAAAAAAGTGCTTATTTTTTAACACTGACTATGCTGTAATAATTGATTGAACTTTATTGATCTCACCCCTCACCACCTCTCATCCCCTTAGGGAGCAGTGGGCTGCCATCGTGTGGCGCCCGGGGAGCAGTGTGGCTTTAAGGGTCTTTGCTCAGGGACCCAGAGTGGCAGTCTGTGGGAGTGGAGCTCAAACTCAGAACCTCAGGATTTCAAGCTCTATGCTTTAACCACTGTATCTGTCCCTCTGTATCTGACCAGATGAACATGGTTTGAACAGTAACCCACACATATGTTCCCTTAACACAACTGCATTCTTTCCAAAAAAAAATGTAAGCTAAAGAAATAAAAGTTACTTTAGTTTTAAGTTCCATTCATTTCTTTCTCCCTCCAGCAGAAACACCTTCTGAGGCAAGAGCCTAATTCATCCTTTCAAATTGCTAACAAACGATGCTTAGCAGATCAAGACTGAGAAAACATTTTAAAAACATTTTAACAAGACATGTATTTTAATACCAAAGTTGCTTTAAAAAGGAAAAACAAATATTTATTTTCCCAATGATATTATTGTTCCTGTTTCTTAGCTCCTTCAAGTATTGTCACAAATTATCTAGAACTCCATAACCCAGGGATGCAACAAGCTACTGACTTAAAATTAAATATCATCCACTTAGCTTTTCAACATTGTCGGCAAAAATTGAATCTCTACCAAAGTTGTAACAATCTCCCTTAGGGCTGAAACAACTAATAGGATTAATCGTGATTAATCCATTATTAAAATAATTGTCAACTAATTCAGTAATTGATTAATCACTAACTGGAGTATAGAGACTCTAAAACATGCCTTCAGCCCACAGAGCAACCTACTTAGAGCAGTAATTATACCAAGAATGTAAAATAATATTCAATATGCAAGATTTAAAAAAAAATATTATCATATGCCAGTGTTAGGGTTATCAATCACTCATCATGTATAAAAGTTTAAGTTTCACCTGCTTTAATTTTGTAAAACCCATCTTAAAGGAACCTTTGTCTATCCGATCATTAATCAAAAAAATTATCAACAGATTATCGATATCGATAAAAAAATAATTATTAGTTGGAGCCCGAATCTCACTGAAAAACATTAACTATTATACATAAAATAAAACAAAACTCTTGCCCATTGTACTTGCCCATATAATACTGAACAATAAATCAGGGGATTGTTGATAATAAAAGTTCCAGCTCTTTTTCACCTTTGTCCCAGAATCAGACTCCATTTTTCCCCCTGCAAGCAGTTTACCTCCAGGCCAAAGAAAATACTTCTTATTTTAATCACACCATCAAAACAGAATCCCCTTTCAAATCTCTGATTTGCTGAGTATTTACATTTGACCTTTTAGGAGTGCAACCGAACCGAGACAGAATACTGCTTTGTGTGCTTCTTTTAGCGTGATTAGGGTGATTGTGATATTTTGCTTGGCAGAAATATGACCTTATGAGTCCTGAATTAATTTTTCCATTAGCGCTCAGGGCAAACCTCTTCTGCATTACTAGCTTCATTGACCAACCTGCATAGTCTTGAACGGTTCTCCCTCAAGTATTAATGTCATTAGAGTTATTCATTTGACTTTCTTTTTTATTCTGATTGAATTATTTAGCCTTTCAGTGAACGCCAAAGTTAATACCATGTGATTTTAATAAGCTGAGGGGTGAAGGAGATTCTCTGAGTGAAGGGGGACAATGGCTTTTATTCCCCGCTCCCTCTCTCATGAATGTTTCAGAGGGAAGTCTGTGCAGCCAGCAGCAGGGTCAGCCTTCCCACAACTAGTAAGACTTAATATAGTTCAACTGTAGCTAAAGGGACTGTGCTGGAGCCTGTACTTCGTTAACATGACTGAAAGCTGAAGCCATGCTTGCCCGCACCGCTTCTCGTCATTGTTCACACACCTGCTGAAACCAGGTGGATATTGTGGGCGGTGAGCTTGTGAAGTCAAGCTAATAGCTCTGTCTTATGAGATCACTCTCTAAGCGATCCAGACAGGCAGCTTTGTTTTACCATCTGGCTTCAATTGCGCTGACAAAGCCAGAGGTTCCTGCATGAGACAAAGGAGCTAAAATGAGCCTCACTTTAATAAACCCTGGATGATGGGAAAGCACGTTTGTGTGTTATCTTAATGAGCTGTCCAAAGACGAGTGCGCCTTCCCTTTCAAAGCCACCCTGATTGGAACAATAACCAGTGATAACTAGGGACCTGTGCTCATCCATTTGCTGTGGGATGGGATTCTTTTGTTGCATTTACAGCAAGAGCAAATAATGTTTACCAAACATTGTAGCATAAATTCTGTATATATATTCAGGTACTAAAACCAGCAACAACATTTCGCAATCTCACAATCACCCAGTCAATTGCAGAAAGGGCACTTAGGATATGCAGCCGGAAAGAAACTCTTATACACTAATTTTCAAAGTCATGAACTAGGCAGCTTCTGTTTTCATCCCTCAACTTAGTTTAGTGATATGTCTAACAGCCTAAGCATTATACATCGTTTAGAAAAGGCAGCAGTCGTGCAAATGAGGTTGCTTTCAGAATCTGAATTGTGTTTGTGCACTTCCCCACGGAAAGGAGCACGAGTGACCCAGTTCTTTCACATACACAGAATCATCAGTAAAAAAGCAATTTAGCATGCCCTCTGAAAAGGGAGCAGGGTGGCAAAACCAGTTTTATTAACCCATCTTAACTGAGGTAAAGCCCTGAGAAGGTGGAAGGTTATGTAATGTCAAACGTTACACAGCTTACAGCATTAGAAGCCCCAGACTGTGCTCGTTTCTGACTCTTTAATGCTAAGGCCACTGCTGGAAGGCACATGGCAGGGCTCACATCGCTCTAAAGCCTGAGAACTGGCAGGTAATCAGACTGAATTTTGTGCAGATTTTTTGATAGCGATAACCGAGGGAGCAAACATCTCTGCCTTAGTCATTTCCAGGCTCGTTGTTTTGCCTATTCTGTCAAAAACATGTAAAATAAGGAAAAGCATGAAAAAAACCCCCAAAAACATCTGATGATGTCATGATCCACAGCTGTGTTTCTGTTGATTGCACTCACCTGTTTTCCATGTAGCCTGTCACTTCCACTTTGTATTTGAGTTCATGTTTGCATTTCTTTGTCGCTGGATGATTTTTTGTTTTTTAGACAAGTCTCTGTGCTTTGTAAATTAATTGACAAAACAAATTCAAGTCCTTTCAATTCAAAGATACCTTAATAAACAGAAAATGAATTATAACTACTAACATAGGGGTTATTTTAGATGCTGTTGGCTGTAGGCAGGAAGGATCTCCTGTCGAATTCAGTCTTAGAGTTGATTTTGAGAAGCATCCTACTGAAGTCACTCTGTTGTCTGATTGTCTGATCATAAAGATATTCAGTGTCTTTACATAATGGTATTTATTTTATTAAGAATTCCATGAATGCTGGACAGTAACCCTCACAGGTACTACATTATCCTGCTATGAAAATCCAGTGCCTAAGAGGCAAATGACAGTGAAACCATGGGTGGCCTGATTAAGAGGAATTGGCC